GCCTACATAATGAGCAGAAATCACAAAAGTCCTTAATAAACACGGTATTCTGACTGAGATACTGCCTAGCATTAAAATGGAACAATATACTTGATCAGATTAACACATTCATGAGATCTTTCACAAATTGCAAAGATGGTGACTTCTGAATTTATTTAAATGACAATTGCAACATACATACACTTGTGCCCCAAGCTTGCAAACCATTGGCATGTTCTCTCTTAAATCATTAGTGTTAATGACTTCATTACTATCAATATTTTTTCCTTTCCCAACTCAAATCTTTCTTTTGTTTTAATTGTCAAAATTATCATGAAGACCGTATCTCATAGAGTAGCTTAAACCACCAGAGGGACACAAGGAGGGTTTTACCCCTCATTCTCATAACCTCTCTTGAAAGTTTTCAGAGCATCTTCTCCTGTCCTTTGATTTGCATGCCAGAAGGGAATCTCTGTAATCACAAAACAAAACCACAGAGGCTTTTTTTTTGAGAGTTTTATGCCTCAGTAAGTAATTTGCACGGTGGGAATGGAAGAATTCATTAAGCCAAGGGATGTGAAATGTATCAGAGATGAAGGGTGTGATGCCTGCTGCTTCTTTCACATGCACCAGCAGATGCAAAGTTTGGTTGGGGTCATGTCTTCACCCTGGAAAAAAAATAGGTATTCTCCTAAGTAAGGCTATGCTGGAAGGGTCTCAGACTGGCTCCAGACATTAAAAGTTGCAACTGATTCCCAACTGGTTGTTGAAGACCACCTCCCCCAGACACAACACCATCAACATATCCTTTCCCAGCAGCTCCCTCTCCTCCAGGTCTTTCAAACCCCAAAATCTTTGACCTGGGCCCTGGCTCTACCCTCATGCTTGAAACTTGATGTTACTTCCTAGAGGGGAAACTAGAAGTCTTCCCGCTATCTGCTAGACTTTGGCTGGGGCTGAAGATAATCCTTGCTTGGGACTTGACTTTCCAGCAAATAAAGCTTATGAAAAAAGACAGACAGACAAAACAGTGAAGCTACAAGTCTAGACTTGACCATTCCTTTTGAGCAGGGTGGTTTCTGGGCAGCCTGCGATAGCCTCCCATCCCAAACTCCAGCTTTTGACCAGGAGCATATCCTGGCCCTTCAACATGCTGGGATGAGCAGGAGTCCCGCAGGGTCCCTCTGCAGTTCCCAACATGGTCACCCCACCCCAGTAGCCTACTGAACAACAGTGAGCAACCCCCAGATGCAAGAGGTCAGGATTTCCAATAAGCCATGCAGGAGATGTGGACACGCAGTCACATTAGTATTGGTAGATGTTGGATACTGATGCACTCTAGACTTTCTGCCTATCTTTCATTACCTGTAAGTAGCCCCTCCCCTCCTTTCCCATCATAACTGAGTGGCCCAGAGCCCCTGGCTGCAACCCCTTAATTGGTACTGGAGAAAGAACCTAGCTGCTGAGGCATTTCTCAATATCCCAAACTCATCCTCATTTCCTTATAATACATCTCCACCTGTCATGATCTTTGTGGAGAAAGGAACAAATGCATTAATTAGAGTGCAGTAAGTGCTCCCACCCAAGCTTCCCACCTTTTGCTGCTACTGCAACCTCACAGACGTTTCACTAAAAAATGTGTAATTAGGTTCTGGAAAGTAACTTCCTGACTGTACGCACTCTTTTCAAGTGCAGGAGCCCTAAGTGGTTTTTCAGAGCCACTTCAAATACCACTTCATTTTTCTAGCTTTTGTTTTCAAAGTTATATTTACTTATCTTTTTACATCAAAGCCAAATCTATTTTGAAAAAAACTTTGATCCCATGGATGATGTTACTTACTGGCCTGGATTTTGTGTCTTCTGAAAAAGATGTTATAGAAAGTAGCTATAGACGGGCTGTGTTGAAAAAGCTGTGTTTGTACCTGAGCTTGTACGTGTTTGTCTGTCCATCCTAGCACTAGTTTGACAGAATATGTAAAGAAATTCCATCCCAAGCAGGGGTTGATTTAAATGTGATCTGAATTTCTCTGCTAACATAGGGTGCATCAAATCTCATTCTGTGCTGAATCCATGCCAAAGTGCTTTTCAGATAAATTACAAATTAGCGTAACACCTCTTGTGAGCTTAAAGTATTTTTCTTCTCTCCTCCATCTCTTCAAGTGGGGTCTACTGGTCCAGTTGTGGACTTTTAACTATCATCGTTCCCATGATGGAGAGGAGTTGTCCAGAAACAGTGTTCCTCAAAATCATACAGACTCAAAACTGATCTGGCTTCCTTAAGACACTTACTGCAAACTGGGGTCCTTATAAACAAATACCTCCTCCTCACCCAGCCTGCGGTTCAGGCTGGGCTTTGATTGCTGCATGATGTCCAAAGAGCCTTGCTCTCCAGGACTGCTGACAGGTGAAGCTTAAGTCCATTGTGACAGTATGTCCTGCTCTGGCTGTAGCTTTGTAGATCAGGGCTGAGGGCCTCACCTGACAGTGAAAGAGTATGGGAAACAATCAAGGCTTTTGGGCACAGAGGTTATACCTGCACCATAGGAAAAGAGCTCCTGCCTTTACAAGGTAGACCTCTACACTGGCAGGCTGTCTTAACCTTTGACAAATACAAGGATCAGGTGGGCCGGATTTCATTCTAGGGAAACAATGCAAGCAAGCAGGAATTTTATGATGACCTGTTTTTTCCCTATCCCCAGCATTAGGAGATTGTTTATATGCTGACAGTAGTTCCAGAAGAGGCCACAAGCCCCAGCCAGGCAATGCTTTTCTTGGAAAGCAGCGCTTCTGAAATGAGAAACAGACAATGAAAATAAAGACAGGCTAAAACATTCAAGCAAGGAGAGGTTGATGGGCCAGCACTGCAGTTTCTTGTTACATTTGTGTGGATGGTTCCTGCTTGCACTCGTGGTGCCTCACCTTAGCTCCACTCAACCTCCACACAACCTGACACCTTCAAAGAGTTATAATTGCATCTAATCACAGGCTCACAATGCACATCTTTTTTATGTTGATACGAAAAGTTAGGACACTAATAAATACATAGGGTGACCTAGAACATTTCATTACATGCTTTTGTTTTTCAGCTTCCATTTAGAAGAGCTAAATTGCTAAATCTTAAACGATATGGTTTACCACATCACTAGAAGAAATTCACACACTCGAAACTCAAGGAAGAGCAAGCAGTGATACCACGGGTGCTCTGCTTTTCACAATAAGCACATGTCTTCCTGCTTAAATAACTATCAGTGCAGATTTTATTGCATTTTATTACATAATGCCCAGTCTCAGATCTTTCTGTTTTCAAGCTCTATTTTCTCAGGGATGCCCTAAACAGATCTGAATAAAAAATTAGTAATTGTAAGATTGTGAGTGGTGGGATCCAAAGCCAACGTGGGTCTTGCAGTGTTTATAGGAAGCTTACCCTCTCTGACATATTTAGCTCCTACAAGCTAAATCCCATGTCATCCATACCTGTCCCACTTGCCTACTTCTCAGCAAGGCTTGCTAGCTTGCCCAGTGGCTGCTTTAATACTGCCACCAGAGGCTTTACTGACTTGGGAGATGGCAGGGCAAGGTTTTTCCTGCATGTGGACATATTTCTGGACTAAACCCGGGCAAGTCTTGCTGTGAGATAGTCAAGTCTCTGTAACTCAATGGGTGTCGTATATACTTGAGGTGTCTGCATGGTAATGAGATTTTGCTGAATTTGATATGTTGGTTTTATAGAGGAAAAAATTTGGCACAAGTAGAAGGAAATGGGGGGGGGGGGGAAAAAGCAAGACAAGAGACTTTAAAGATGAACTAGTGGGAGTTTATGTTCTGACCTCCAATCCTGTTCTTATACACCTACATTCCCCAAAAGGTGCTGCAGGGAAATAGGGAAGCAGCTGTGACGGCAGCAACAGGCAGGGACTGTACATATAGCGAGGAGCTGAGGAGCTGAGGAGAAGGTGGTTAGGCTCGGTGCTCTTTTAAGACATGGCACACCATGTTGCCCCTGTAAGAGTCACGCTTTTCAGGCATGCTCTTGGAAGATCTAGGCACAGGATCCACAAGGAGGTGGTTTGAAATTACTACATATGTCTTCTTGATATATTTACACTCCAGGGACCACCCACGTCACAGGATGTGTTTGAATTGCTCACCAAGCTTTATTCTGGAGTTGAGACAGAATTACAGATTCTCTTTTCCCAGAACACAAGAAAAATCAGCAATTTTCTGAATTATTATTACAGAGGCTTTTTTTAAAAATAGGTCCCATTCTTGTAGACCTTTCAAGCACGGGGGGGAATCTTTGCACATTTTTCAACTCCTTTAACTGCTGGTTACTTAATCCTAGCTTGTAAAAAAATGCATAGAGGTAAAAACAAACTCCTTTTCTCTGTGAGCCAGTTTAAGCAAGTTGGGGTAAGGATATGGGAAGGGATGATGAAATCCTCATTAGAAAAGATGCATTATTTTCTATGTTTATATGACAGCAAAATCCTTGTAGATACTCTTGTGCACTGAGACAATATATTTAAGTTTTAATTGTTTCAGTCAATGTCAATTTTACATCAAACATGCAATAAAGTAAAAATGGCCTTTGGGAAACATCGCTGAATCTTATTTTGGGCTGCAGTACTGCCAATGTAAATATCTACTTCTGTTTTGTAAGCTCAAAGCCAAATGGAGCAAAATTTTCCTTTCAGAGAGACTACTGACCTGTCAGCATCAAAATATTATTTTTAGCCTATAAAAATTGTTTGTCAGTGATTGTAATAACAAGAATCTTTGCAAAATCCATTATTACTCTAGTAAACATTTTCCCCTAGGCAGTAATAGTAGGAAATGAGTTAAGAAGTTAGTTGATAGCAACTGGATAAGAAAAAATTACGAAGTGTCACATCTACAGAGTTACTGCAATAAAATATATTTTCTTTCTATTTAAATTATTAAATGTTTACAGTAGCTCAGAGAAAACATCAGATCGGAAGCATTTTGGTAAATTATAATTTATTCTATTGTTTGCTTTCCAGAATGCTAGAAGATGACCTCAAGTTAAGCAGCGATGAAGAAGAGAATGACCAGGTAAGAACCAGACAACTAACATGTCACTTGTACTATGTTTCATGTTGAGACTGAGCTACTGCATGTATTTTGCTAATGCTTTTTCAAAACATACATAAAGGTTATCAAAATACATGGCAGTACTGTAACTGGAGTAACAGATGTTGCAGCTTGGAGCCAGCCCGCGTGTGCTAACTGCTGGATTGGTGGGGAATGGTTTGCAGTGCTCTTGATTTATTACCTTGATGTGACCCAGAAGGTTTTTGTATCAGTCTCCTTCTGAATCAGTTTTATTATGTTTCAAAGAGCGGCCAAGGAGGGAAGAAACAGAAATTCTGAATTAAGGGTTCATGCCAAACCTTGCAAGCATGACCTGGCCCCAGGGAGTAGCCACTGGGCTGCTTACCTTTGACATGCCTAGAGCTTCACCGGCATCCCCTCAGCCCTCTCTTCTCCTCTGGGCATTTTCAGTCCTGTCTCTGCATGGCCCATGCATGCTAAGAAGGCTAAGGACAGCTGAGAGAAAGTCTTGGCTGTGCATTTGGTTCACTCCGTAATACAGCAGTTAGGGCACTTGCCTGGGTTTTAATGACCTCAGACTACCTGACTGGGAGCAGATGCATCAGCCAAAGTTTTCCATGTGTCAGGAGAGTTGAGTTTTGTTGGCTGGGGGAGGTGTCTCCCAATTTTTCCTTAAAACACTTGTGTTTTGTCTAAATAATTGAGTACTCACTAGAATAGGGCTTGACTGTCCCCTGGCTGGCCAAGCGCCTCATTGACAAGCAGTGGTGTTCCATGCTCCCTCCTTCTCAGTATACTGGCATGGTGATTTGGTTGGGGATGGGAGAGCAAGAGCCACTTCCACTCCTTGCACTAAAATGTATGTCCTATGCCTTCACCGGAACATCTGAGGGCAGTACTGCCCCTGGCTGAATCTCACAGATGGATCCAGACCTGGATATAACATGGGTTTCAAATGTGATTATTTCAGTCAAGGGTAACTGGAGCTATCTGAAATTCAGGATCTTAAAATAATTTTAGGTATGTAGGCATGAAGCTCTTACAGGGTTTTCTTTAACTCTTGTCATTAGAATTCTCTATTTTACAATATATTCCAAACAACAGGTAAATCAAAACCTTTTAATATTTATACTAAACCATTATTTCATCTATTTTGAGAAAAGCTTCTTAGTGTTAAGAAGATTCAGCACATAGATTCAATTATTTACATATTTATACAATTTCTTTTTGTTTAATGTATTTCATCCTGAAACACTTCACATTTAATTACTCTCCCAGCTTGTCTAGACAGTTTAAAACACAGCGCATCATAGACAGCATAGGGCAAAGTAATGTGAAGTGAGGGACAGAAGGGACATCTGAAGAATAACAATAGCACACCGAGATGCCGTGGTGCCTGCAGTGAGGGGCTGGGTGGTAGGAGAGTGGGGGACCCATCCACTGGGTCAGGAGACGGCTTGTCCTTTGGGTAAGTAGCGAGATGGGATCCTGCAGAATGGATGTCTGTGGAACAGGCTGTCAGAGCCAGAGAGCTGAAATTATGGTTTGCTTTGTAGCAAGCGGAAAAGGACATGTGAAAATGTATATCGTGCAGGAGATAAAAGAGCATTAGCAGGTTTAGACAGAAAAGGGACTGTGGAAAAGTACTGCCGTTTGGGCATGCACACATGGTATCTTTGGCTTAGCACTGCCACTTACCACTACTAACATGTTTCATGTGCTTGGATTGCTCAGTATTATGCGTGCTACGCAAGGTCTTTGGTCAGTAACCAGAGCTTTAAGGTACAGCTGATACAGTCTGGGTCTTTCACCTCAGTGATCAAACAAACTCTGCAGAGCCAAGAAAGAGTTTGCCACCCGTGTGGCAAAGAGCAGAGCTGAGATCCCATTACTCACTTCTAATCGTCACGGGCCCTAGCATGAGCAACCTTTGGCAATTACTTTGTGATTTGGTCCTCTTTTCTAGTCACATTTTTTTCTAACTTGGCTGTGCAGATAAAAATCTCCTGGAGGCACAAGCTGACCGATGCTACATGAAATGTTTTGCAGAACCTCAGCTAAGACCTGCAGGTCTGCTTAAAGAACAGTCCTAAATAAATATGCCTGCTGGATAAACAAAGCACTACATTTCCATCTACCTAGCAGGAAATAGGTCCAAAAAAGAATGACACAGGCACCCTCTGCCAATAAATGCACAGATTACCACATGGATCTTTGTCTAAATGTCAGTGGGAGAACCAGTTTCCGTTTGTTTCCCAATTCTGAGGCTCTTTAGTCTCAGATCTCCTCCTGAGCTCAGGAACAGGAAAGAAAGAAATCAAAGATGAAGGGATAGGAACAGTAAATGAGTGATTCCCAGATACTCCTTACATAATTAATTAACCTTTGAGAAATCAGACTTATTTAAGTAGTCCAATTTCTCAAAAAGCTGAAGATGAGACATACAAGAACTGGGAAGCTTTTTATTTTGCTGATTTCTAAATGGGGAAGTTTAGGGGGAAAACTTGGGAGATTTTGTGTTTGCGTCTGAAATCACCAAGCGGTGAACAGAAAGTTTCTGAAGTTGTGCAAAGGGGGACAGGTGCTTCTGCGTTCCCAGGGCTGGCATTTGGAGGGCTATGGCTGAACCAGGGAATGTGAGCCATAGATGAGGGAGGCCAAATGCATGACAGGGATGTAATTAAGAGCTTCGGGACCTTGGTGGGCAAGGCGTTCCCAACCTTTCCCTCTGCACCAGCAATTAAGGTAGTGAGATTCACAGACCCAGGAGAGGCAAAAGAGGCTGGGTTTGAGAGTGTGTGTGCAACCACAGTAATTACATTATCCACACATATTAGTCTCTTAATTTTAATTACATAAATGTATTTTTCCTCTTTAATGAGCATAGTTTATCCATTTAAACTGATCATTTCAATTTTACAGGCAGTGATCATAGGATCTAATAGGCAGAGGGAAAATTTCCTGTTGGCATATTTTACATCACACAGATTGAAGAAAATATACTTTTTAATCCCCAATCAATATCTGAGGAGCATGCAATTAACAGATACCAAGGTAGTTAACATAAATCTGCAAGTTAAAGAGCCAATTCATTTTGATTTAAAACACATAGAGTAATAATTTCATCATTGTCTCTCCAAGAAAGCATCTGAAGCTTTGTAGCATGAAGATGTCAAAATTGTACTTAAGATTGTTCAGAGTACTGAATTGTAGTGGTTATTGCCTTTTGGTTCCTTGAAGTGTGGCATAGCACATGAAACAGTCCCCATTATAATACCCTGCTCTTCTCCGTAGAGGTCACTGGATAACTTAAATCAGTCTTGGATGAAATATTAAAAGGAGATTGTCAATTGTAATATGAACAGTTCCATTTTTCCCCCCTACTTGTCCTTTTACAATATGAAAATTTTGTAATAGAGAGTAGTTCCTTTAAGGAGAAAAAGATCCCTGGCATCATTTGTGCAATTCATGTCAATCAATAGCCAAATAAATTAACTGACTGGTACGCATACATGGAATAATAATCTAACATATTTTTGCAACCCAAGTCTACTTCCTTATATGCATTTTTTCTGCGCGGGATCAGGTTGGTTGCCACTGAAGTTTTGTGGCTGTGAAAATTTATTACCCACAGAGTCAATCTGCATTCTGGCTGCCAAGTCTGAATAAATAGAGTCATTGTGCTTGTCTGGAATATGTAACCAAAGTTCATCGAGTCAGCTTGACTTTCACATCCCATGGGATTCATAAAAGCCAACACCCTGGTATGTGCTCTTGATTCCTGCCAAAATTTTGTAAAATCGTATAAACAGAAGTTGAAGAAGCAATCAGAACACACTCCCAGGGACATGGCTCCACACTCCAGCCACTGCTGTATCTTGCAAGGAAAGACTCAACTTTAGTACTTTTTTTTTTTTTTTTTTAAATAACCATATGACTATCCCCCTGTGACAGCAGGTAAATGCAGGGGCTGAAGACACCCTCCGCACACAGTGCACAGGGAGGCAGCAAGCAGTCCTCTTGGGTTCATTAATTTTGCTCATGTGCCCTGCACCAAAGGAAGAGGGAAGACAGCGTTTGCCTGCAGGTGGCTGCCCTCCTTAAGAAGGGACAGGGACAGGCTGGCCCTGCAGGGTCTGAGCAGGCTGAGTGAAACCAGCCCCTCCACAGGCAAGCCAAGACAAACAGAAAGCCATATCCCTTCACAGGATACCTCGGAGGAAGAGCAGTCTTGAGAAAGTTCACCAGGAACAGTTTCAACACAGTAATCTAAAAGTCTCAGCAGCCTGGTCTGGATCACCACCCAGAGCCCCACAGGGTGACAGCAGCCCACCCAGCCCGGCGCCTGCCCAGGGGTCCCGGGGATGCCCCCCCACCCACAGCTTCTTGGGGACATCCAGGGAGGGCTGCTGGACCTGGGGGACCCACCAAGCTCCAGCATCACCCTAGCCATGGCTGAGTCAGAAAACTTGATACTAGTTTGAGTTATACCCACAGCTCCAGTGGGGACATCTGTGCCTATGTTTCCTCCCCGTCACATATGCACTGAGGGATGCCAGCGCTCAGTGCTGGAAATGCGTCTTTCTGACAAGACTGTCTGCAGCGTAGGCATTTAGGACCAGCCAAATCCATTCCGTCATTGCAACAGGGCAAAAGTCCATCTACATAGTCAATGGCAGTTGGTGTGTCCATGTCCCCATGTAAATAGTACTAGGGATTTTTTTTTTAAGTCATAAAATCATGTTTTGTTTCTTTAATGGTATCCAGAAACAAGTGAGAAAGAACATATGCAAAGACAATCTTTTAAATAATGTGTAGGACTTTTCCCTCTCACTTCTGGATATGGACAATCAACAAAAAGATTAAAATTATCCTGAATTGAATGGTCATGCATCCACCTCCTTCAAGAGGAAGAATTTTAAGTAGAGTCTTTATAAGCACTACTTCTGCATATGAAATGTAATATTCTAGCTAGTTTGAAGCCATCTGTAATGAATTTT